ATTATAAGAAGTGTGTGTATATATATAATTAATATAATTACTTAATTAGTAACCTTAACGGGGCGGGGCAAGGTAGGTTGGGGTGACCCTCCCCCGGTTCCACACCGAATCCGTGTGGGTTTATTCTCATAAAATCCGTCCCCACCCAAATCCCTTAAACAGTTCCCCAAAACAGGTTTAAACGAGGCGAGGCAGGATGGGACCCCGTCCCCACGGGGAAAATGCCATCCCTATCCCCGGGTCACTCTTCTCACTTGGCATCTCACAAACCTTATTGTCAAAAACTCTCATAGTCCTCAAGGTTGTGATGGCTTGGACTTATTCATGGTAAGAAGGTCTCGATGAGGAATTTGTCTCAACCACGTAATGAGCCTTTAGGTTTATCTCGGGTTGACTTAGAAGTTTCCCTTTTTCCCTTGAACTAAGTGCATTAGCAAGTTGCCCGATTTGGGATTCGAGCTTGGAAATGGATTGGGAATGGGAATGAAGCAATTATGTGATTTCCTTGAGATTGCCCAAAGCGGCCAACACCTTGTCCTCAAAGCGGAATTCTTTGGAGGAGCTTAAGAAGAATGAAAATGAGATTGAAAGCTTGAAATGGTTGATGATATGAACTAGAAGAATAACCAACATTTTGATGAGAATAAGAAGATTGATGATATAGGGTTGGTGAGGAATAAGGGTTTTGATTGAATGCTTGATGAGTGGGGATATGTTGCCCTTGAGTGGAAGAAGGATTGCTCTGGCCTTGATTTCATCACGAGAAGTTTGGATGGTTTCTCCACCTGGGATTACAAGTGTTGGAGAAAGGATTGTTTCCGGGCGAGAGACGGCGACATTGACTTACTCTTGAGAATCATTCGAGATTTGTCCTCCAATAGGACATCTCGAGTACTATGATAAGGATTAGAACAAATCATGCAAATGGGAGGGGTAGAAAACATTTAAGATGCCGGAGGGTTTCCTAGCAAAAATTAATCAAATTGTTTAGTTTAGGTTTCAACCCTAGCGGTTACCTCCGAAGAATTGTCAATTTCAAAGAGATTTTCAACTTTTTTCCACCTACCATTGGAACCCTACCTGACCGACTATATAAAGCACGATGCATAGAATTTTCACTCTAAGTTTTCAAATAAAGTCCATGCTTCATCCTCATTTTGTGCAGGAAGGTACATCCACATGAGGCATCCACCATTTGTTGGTGAGAATTGGATAGACTTTCATAAAACCATTGGACAAGTTGCCATTTTGGAGCTTCATGGTGAGGGCATTTCCTAAGTAGATCATTGAGTGTCTCCTGCACCTCATATAATTGTTCACCTTCATTTTGAGAGAAACTCATTATGGCTCGCTGAATATGGTTGGTTTTACCTACGGGGAAGTACTTTTTGTAGAAATCTTGTTGCATGTGAGCCCAAGAAGTGATGGTATTTGCCCCTAAGGTATTGAACCAATGCTTGGCTTTATCTTTTAGCGAGAAAGGTAAGAGTTTCATTTCTAAAGCTTCATTAGGGAAACCGGTGATTTTAACGGTTGAGCACACTTCCAAGAATTCATCCAGATGTCCATAAGGGTCTTCATTTGGGTTCCAAAAAAAAGATGGCGATATTTGGATGATTTCGGGCTTAATCTCATAATGATTGGCTTGAACATTAGGCATTAGGTAGAATGTGGGAGCATTATATGCATTTGAAGTGTAGTGATCTTTAAGAGCCCTAGGTGGAGGATTAGGCAAGGGATATGGTTGAATTTGAGGTTGGTGATGAGGTTATGGAATATTGTTATCCGCTATTAGAATAATAGAGTGATTGCTTGAGAGGAGGTTTCCTAAAACTTCTTCTAACTTCCCTAAGAGTAGATTCAATTTCAAGGTCAAGAGGGACAAGATGATTATGTAAGGATCACCTACCAAACATACACCACAAAGCACATCAAAGAAACAACATCATCAACATCATAACAACCAATATTCATCCACATATGTCCCCATTCTCCTCGAATCAATAAAGACAAAAGATAAAAGAAATGGCCTTGACAAGGGCCTATGCTTGAACAAAGTAAAATACAAGCAATGATAGCCTCGACAATGATTATCCAAAATATAAATAAAACTAAACTATAAAGTGCACAATTAGAAGTTCAAGATTTTAAGATACGCTCACAAAGGTCCAAAACAAAACAATGATCCCCAAGCTTCTTCCTCCCTTTATCAAGTACCTACAATTGCAAAAAAATAAGCAATCAGTAAATGATATACATAAAGTCTTAAACTAACAATCAAATGATCACTAATTTTAAATTGAATAATTGAACCGTAGTCCCCGGCAACGGTGCAGAAAATGATGGTTTATGATCGAAACTTCAATTTTAAATTTAGGTAACCACTACTACGTAGGATAGCGAAGTAAGGGGTTGAACACAAGGACTATATGCTTGATCCAATTTCAACATTAATGATCAAATGACAAAAAAGCATGTTTGGATTGTTCCTAATTGACAACTAGAAATAAATCTAACTAAAATGCAAATAAGTGGACTTATAATGAACAAGATAAGATAAGAGAGAGAGACTTAGGGCATAGAATCCACCTTTAAGCCTTGCAATTATATCAATGCAATCAAATTTGGGAGATAAATTGTGCATACAAAGATTGTGGATAAGAGCACACAATTGAGATCAAAAGAATGCTACAATTAACATCAACAATCATGAATTATTAAAGCTAAGTATGAATTGTCTACTTACCTACATCTAGTCTAACATTCATAGTATAATTCATCAAAACTAAGCATAAATCATCAAGTTGAATGCAATTATATCCAATTAGCACCATTGTGTAACCATCATCTACACAACTACAAGAAGTGGAGATGTAAAGATTAACCTTCAACAATCAATACATAAGACAAGATAGAGATTAGAAGAAGATCAATTCAAGCATTTAAACACAATCAAGCTTGGTATAATCATGTTTAGTCCTTTAGGTTACACAATTTATACACAAATATAAAAATCTCCAAAATGAAAGACAATGATACAATTACATGGCTTAGGGCTTCATCTAAGCACTAAGAAGGAAACTAGTTAGCCATGGAGATGTTAAGGATCATATTTACAGCTTTAATCTTCATCTCCCAGCCAAAAGCTTCTTCTCCAATCTTCAATAGCAAATCTAGAGAGAGAAAGTGTACATAACTCAAGCCTTGATCCAAAATCCAAATCCCTTTCAAAATGGCTTGATTCTTCTATTTATACGTGACTCATGGTTTGCCAAATAATCAGAAATCGTACACAAGGCTCGTCAAATGGGTACTCCATGAACTTGGTTTAAGGAAAACGTTAGATCTGAATTTGAGAGTCATGTCCCGCAAATGCGACCGATCGCGTTTAAGACGTGATCGACCACACTCTACTCGCGATCAATCGCGTGCCTCAGATTTCCGCACTTTAGCACTTTTTTGCAGCCTTTCTTTGCCAAGACTCCATTGAAGCTTCCCAAGAGCTTTAAGGTATTGGATTCAGCCCATTTAAGCCATAAGAACCTGAAATCGACAATAAAGCGAATTAAAACTACAAAGATGAATAAAGATAGAAATAAGGTGCTAACATATATAAGAATAAAGGCCGAAATGTGCATCTTTCGGCACTTATCAGGTGGTTTATATTTCATTTTCAATTTACATGTTTACTTGAGATGAAATGGGATCATCTATGTTAATTGTTGGTTTTGGATGATGCCGTTAGGACTACCCCTGAACTAGACGTTAGGGAGCATGTCCCTTCGCTTCGTATGACATGGGATACTCTTATAACACCAGATGAATGTAGTTTATGTATGTACCTAGCGTGTTTCCTATTGAGCAATGTAGCTCACCCCACGTTGTTCCCCCATTTAAGGATAAAGACATTACCTTTGAGGTTTTCTTCGCTTGTTTGCTTTTGAGGAGGCATTAGGTGCTTGTGGACATATTTTAGTAAATTATGTTAGCATTTGAGTTATTTTTGTTTTTGGACTTGTATCATTTATTGCACGAGTTTGGATAATGTAAATGTCATGATAATTGTGGACGTATGATTTAATATGACTCATGTGTAATCTATTCAAGGTTTGTAAGGCAATTTGATGTAAACTTGATTATTCATGTGATAAGTGATGTAATGAGGCCATAAGGCCATTTTAATGTCACTGTATGTTTTCCATCATTTATTGCACTCTTAGGCTTAGTTCATAATCATATTTGGTACTAACGAGGTGCCCAAGGCCTTAAGCACTCAAATTAGGACTTTTTGGTGCATCTGGACACCCTGTGATTGATCGCAGCCCTTTTTGCAATCGATTGAGCCTTTTTAGAACCATGAAACAAAAATTTGTGTTTCATGCGATCGATTGCACTATTCATGAGATCGATCGCACTTGTTCTGGACCACTCGTCACTGCAGTGCTAACTTCAATCGGCCATAACTTCCTCGTCTTTAATCCAAATTAGGTTATTCTTATGCTCAAATTGACCAGCTCTAAGTAAGCTTTCTAGTGGTACCAGCCTCACTCATAGATTCCATTTGTGGAGAGAGTTATGCCCATTTTAGTGAGGATAGGTCATGATTTTCTTCAAGTAAGAAATGTATTTTTTTTTCTAATGTGGGTCTTTACTTCTGCATTCGGACTGGGATTTCAGGTTGGGTTTCTGGTTCTCCATTCATGCACCGGGTCACTAGGATTCTGGGTGTGACACAAACCTAAGGGGAGGTTAGGTAATTCACCCTATTTAAATTTATAAATTGCCATTCTACATGTGGCAAATAGGTTGTTAGAAAGTATTTTTTTCAACTGTATATATATTATATACCTATATATTAGTTATATGAATAAATACTTATTTCAACCTTTATATATTGCTCTATATTTCTCTGTTTGTTTGTTTGTTTATTTATTTATTAATTTTTGTCTTGCACTCTTACTGAATTAAGATTTTAATATGCTTAATTTAATACTTGATAGGTATGAGGAAAAGTTTATCCAACAAATTGTTCAAGTAATTTTTACAAAATTGCAACCTATACCATTCAAAGTTGCTGAGTATGAAGTGGGTATTGATTCTCGAGCAAACAAAGTAATCATGTTGCTGAATGATAGGTCAAAGGATAAACTCTTTGTCGGGATTTGTGGAATTGGAGGAATAGGTAAAACAACTGTTGCCAAAGCAGTTTTCAACCAAATATCAAATGAATTTGAAAGAAGTTGTTTTCTTAAAAATGTGAGGGAAGAGTCAAAAAAGCAAGATGGTCTAACTAAACTACAACAAAAACTTCTTAGAGAGACCCTAATGGATAATTATTTAAAGATATCGAACTCTGACAGGGGAATCAATGAAATAAAGGATAGACTTGGGCACAAAAAGATTCTTCTAGTTCTTGATGATGTAGATGATGAGATACAATTAACGAGTTTAGCTGGAATAGGACATAATTGGTTTGGTTCGGGAAGTAGGATCATCATAACAACTAGGGATGAAAGGTTGTTAATGAAGTACAATATTGTTAAAACATATAAGGCTGAGCTATTAGATGACGAAGAAGCACTTGAACTTTTCAGTTGGCATGCATTCAAGCAAAATGATCCTGTAAAAAAGTATCGCAAACTCTCTCACACTGTAAAAGATTACGCCAAAGGTCTTCCATTAGCTCTTCAAGTTTTGGGATCTTTTTTACATGAAATAAGCATTTCTGAGTGGGTAAGTGAACTGAATAAATTGAAGAGAAACCCTCCCAAAGAAATTCAAGATGTTCTCAAGATAAGTTATGATAGCCTTGATAAAAAAGAGAAGGCTATATTCCTCGACATTGCCTGTTACTTCAAAGGATATAAAGAAAAATTCGCAATGGAGTTTTTTGAGAGTTGTGGATTTCACCCCATCATTGGAATAAAAGTTCTCATTGAGAGGTCCCTCATCACTATATCAAAAAATAACGAGCTCCAGATGCATGATTTGATACAAGAAATGGGTCGAGAAATTGTTCGCCAAGAATCTGAAGATCCTGGAAAGCGCAGCAGATTGTGGTCTCATGAAGACATCGATGAAGTATTTACTAAAAATATGGTATGATGGTATGCATTGTCACATATTAGTTTCTTTCCATGTGCAAGCTATGCACTTGTACGCCTTGTACATATAAGCTGCTTCGAAGTTGTATAATTTTAGTTAAGTTTTTATTTTATTGAGGCACTTACTCCATGTTATTGGTTGATAGGTAACAGAAAATATCGAAGCCATTATGGTAACCAAGGGTGGGTTGGATGTAAGTGGTGACGCCTTCACAAAGATGAAAAAGTTAAGAATACTCAAAATCAGTGATGTGCAGCTTCACGGATCCCTCACAAATCTTTCAAATGAGTTAAGGTATCTTGATTGGAATGGCTATCCCGAAGAATATTTGCCGTACAATTTTCATGCAAAAAAACTTGTTCAACTCCATTTACGTAATAGCTTGATCAAAGGGATTTGGACGGACAGAAAAGTAAGATTATTATTTTACACATGCTGTTTTCCTTTCTATTAAAATTTTTCTCTAGTATTTCTAAAAAATAATAATTTTATCTAGTCAATTGAAGCTAACTTATTTTATTATATTTTATTTTATTTACAGATCCTAAAGATTTTAAAAGTCATTGATCTCAGTTTCTGCAAAAATCTGGCAGTAAAAAATCCTAATTTTTCAGGGTTCCCATTTCTAGAGAAATTGAATCTTATTGGATGTGCAAGTTTGGTTGAGGTTGAATTTGATGACATGAAGGTAATGTTATTACTTTAAGTGCAATATGCTTCTCTTCGTGAATTATTTTATCAATTTTTTTTTTACAAAGATTATTTTGTCAAGTGGATTGAAGACAGTCTATATTATAAGTTATTTGGTCCAAAAGCTTCCAGATTAGTTAAAAGTCATATATATATATATTACAAATTTTTGGAAGGATATATAAATTACAAAATTTTGAAATTAAAATCCCAAATTTGTTTGAGTTCTCATGTCGGCAGGCCCGTGAACCAAACCCATGTCCCTTAACCTTTGTTGATGATTTGAACCATCAATCCAGAAAAGGGGAACTCATGGGTAGTTGAGATTAGATTATACTTTATCCATGACAAAGTAGTAAACAACACATCGAATATAAAAATTTTGTTAGGTGGTTTTTACTTGTCAACAATTCGGTAACATGCCAAAGCAGTGTCACCATGGTCACCATGAAAAAATTGTCAAGAGCATCTCCAGATTAATGGGCACATTTGAAAGAATATCCATGCAAATAAAAAAAATGATAATAGTTATCATTAATATTATTATTAAATACATGAGCTTTAGGTTCATCAGAGTAACATTTTTTAAACACCATCTTTTAGAATAAAAAATAAACACCAAATTAGATGACAAATTAAAATGGCACGATAGATTTAGATTAGAAACCTATAGATCAGATACTATATCAATTCATTAAGACTGTTCTTTGTATGAGTTTGGTTCAGTTTCATTAATCAACAATTTACTCCTAGTTCCAAAACTAGTCATCATTTAGATGTCAAAAAAAATAATAAAAAAAATGAACCAATTCTATTGAACCTTAATACTTATATATATTTATACATATACATGTGTATATTTATTTTAATTTGATAACTTTTGTTATCGTATGCTTACATTACATTGAATTATTTATGTTCTTCTTCATATTACCTGTTAGATTAGAAACTAGGAACGCAATATCAAATGGAAAATAGAGAAATATTTTACTTATATCATAGAAATTATGTTTATATAAGGCTTGATTTAAGTTAACCTATTGTTTTTGGATTTTATTTTAGGGTAAGCTCAATTCGTAAAACTTGCCAATGCAAATAGTTTTTGTACAATCCAGATTGGTTCAGTTTAGGTAGTTTCAGGGTCGGTTTCAGTTTCTTCTTTAATTTTATCTTCTATACCAAATCAAACTGAACTGTACATCCCTATAATTTAGCATGTAAAAAACAAAAATGAATTTCTTACCGACGACCTATGTTTGGGGTCAAATGGTAAATATTCAAAGAGGTGAAATTTGTTGGTCAGGACTCCATTTGATTAGAAGGAAATGAAAAATTTATAAACAGTTTGGAATTTGGATAGCAAGAAAAGGAAATTTTGAGGGAAAGTAATTTTTGATTTTTTGTTTTCATATTCACCCGACTTTCCATAATTTTTTCATACAAAAAAATGGAAATAATTTCATTTCTTGAGAAAATTTTATGATGTTACAATATTGTCTTTTATTTTCTTGTAGTTTCATGTATTCTAAACTTTTCTTTTAATTTCACTTTCCCCTCATAGTTTTCATTTAATCAAACCGGAATGAATGCAAATTCAAATAAACTAATTGAACAAATGGTATTGATCTGGTAATGGATAGTTTCAGCAACTCTCTCTTTGGCTTGAAACTATATCTAGTTGTCTTGTGTTTTATCTCTGTTTTCTAATGAGATTAGAAGTTAATGGTGAGAGTGTTACTTTACTTACATTTCCCCCTCCCGTTGAATAATTATTTTTGGTGTTTGATTTAGCAGTTTCAAGATAAGTTAAAAATCGTCGATCTCAGCTACTGTAAAAATTTGAAGAGAAGTCCTAATTTGTCCCAGTTGCCATGTCTAGAGAAATTGTATCTTCATGGTTGTAGAAGTCTGGTTGAGGTTCATCCGTCCATTGAATTTCATGAGAGGCTTCATCGGTTGAGATTCGACAATTGTAAAAATTTGAAGATTCTTGCAACAAGAATTAATTTGAAATCTCTTCAATCGCTTAATATCGATGGATGTTCAAAACTTGAGAAGTTTCCAGAGATCCAAGGAGATATGGAATGTTTAGAGACACTTATGTTGGATGGGACTGCATTAAAAGAATTACCTCCAAGCATTGGAGATCTCAAAAGGCTTAAATGTTTAACTCTGAGATGCTGCAGAATGATTGAAAGTTTACCGAACATTATTGACAAAATGAAGAGTTTGAAGATACTTCAACTGAAGGGAAGTGCTATAAAAGATTTACCTCCATCAATCGAACAACTTGAAAGCCTTATGAAGTTAGATCTGTATAACTGCAAAATGCTTGGAAGTTTGCCAAGCAATATTGGTGAAATGAAGAGTTTAAGGATACTTTGGCTGAGCTTTAGTGGTGTAAAAAAGTTACCACCATCCATTCAACAGTCGACTATTCTCCAATTAGAATGGAGTTACTGCAATTTAGATGAAGAATCCATTCTCAATCTTCCTCACTCGTTGTGGAAATTAAATCTAAACGGGAATGACTTTGTTAGCTTACCCGCAAGCTTCTCTCAACTCACAAGCCTTTATCAACTTGGTTTGAACAATTGCTTGAGGCTCCAAGCACTGGAGTCACTTCCAGCATCTATACGGTGTCTTTCTTTGCGTGGTTGCTCAAGCCTCCAAACATTGTCACTTCCATCATTTACATCAGAAGTTTTGGCACAAGGTTGCGTATCACTAGAACGCTATTCCATTCAAACAAGTGATGGATGTATTTTCACAGAGAGCCATAAATTAGTTGAGAATCACAAGAACAAGAAGCCAAATATATACGACAATTCAGAAATTGAAACTTTTAAGGTAGGCGTCTCTCTCTCTCTCTCTCTTTCAATGTTCATACCCCACTTTTTCAAAATTAACATTGTTATGCTTTTTGGTGCAGCAAAATGTCCATGAAATTGTTTTCTCTGGAAGTGAGATTCCAAGTTGGTTCTCCCATATTTATGAGAGTCAGAGTGGTGCGGAGTTCACTAATGTGCGGTTGAATATAGATCCAAATTCTTTTCGCTATCTCAAAGGAGTTTCTGTTTGCGCCGTTATCGAAATTAATCAAGATCACAAACCAGAACCATTCAATGAAGATGAAGAGAAGAAGAGGGCGGTTACTCTCTCTATCAATGGTGATTCTAGAAATCGTTATGATATAGGGGATTGGATCAACAGAATCAGGTCAGATATGATCATGTTGTTTCATGAACCCAATATAGGATGGAAGTGCAATTCTGATGGGTATTGTTACATTGAGGCTTCAATTAGTGGATCCTATTCCAATGGACGACCATTGAAGGTGAAAAAGTGGGGTGTTCATCCAGTAATGGACGTGCAATATGAAGATGATGAAGATGGAATTGATGAAAACGAAGAAGAAGGGACACGCCAATGTCTCTCCCCCACACGCGCACAACAGGGAGAGAAAGGGTATATAGGTAAAGCAGTGGTCAGACAAGAAAAATAAACGAAAATAATATAAAAAAAAGTATTGCTCAGGTTATTTTTCTCTAACTTTACAAATATACCATTATGATTTGGTATCTTGTTGGAGATTTTTAAAATATACTGTATATTTTTCCTAATCACTTAATTTAAAAAGGATTAGTTCTTTATTAAAATTTCGAAAGTTATTATCTATTTCAAACTGATATTTGCGATTTGGTCTGATTCCTTAGTTGTTAATTTATAAAATGTTCCCATCATTTATATAAAACAAAATTGAATCTCCTATCATCAATTTTAAAAACAATTTACATCTAGTATTATATTATTAGCCATTTGGACATTCAAATCAGCCACCAATTTTAAAACCAGTCTTACATATATATATATAGTTTTCTTGCTAAATATATGGGATTTATGTGGTGCGTCCAGGATAGCACTGGGAAGGTGGACCTGTCGTCAATTTTGCTTCCAAATGGTATTTTTTATCATCTTATTTTTCTCTTACTAATCTTAAATTGGCTGATAAATTCACTAAAATTCTAGAGGTGGTTTTGCTAATGCATCTTTCATATAATCTTGTTTTATTATGCTATGGTTACTCTAAGCTGGTGAAATTTTGGAAAGGTTATAAGGTAGTGCCTCCCAGTATCACTTGCAGTGGGAATCATAATTTAGAAACTCTGGCTAATAGCACCTATTGCTGGTTAGGGTAGAAATTGGGTTCTTGGGTATTGATTTTCTCCTTGGATTCACCTTGATAAGTGTAGTGTGTTCCAATAAATGGTTCTTTAATATGAACACAACCATTGCAGATATTCGTTAATTGACAACTACTTGGTGGTAACTAGGAAGAACGGATACTTTTACAAGAGCGACCTACTCAAATTGGATACGTGTTAGATATCAATACTCATCAGATACTTGCATATGTCTATCTAATACTTCTTAAACTTATTTATAATTTTAAAATATGTAGTTTAATTTCTAATGCGTACCAACAGGCATGTGGCCTAGCAGTACAAGGCCCCTACTTCCCCAGGGAAAGTTAGGGGTTCGAACCTCAATGGAGGCCGTGTGTGTGAGTACCAACTAGAAAGAAAAATTTGAACATTAAAATACAACTTTTCCAACAATAATGACATAGTATGGTTGTTAAGAAAAGTTTAATATTTATTAAGTGATGACCATGGATGCTTGTTTTACGTGTTAGGAAATGAACTCCTATGTTATAATGATTGCATTTAGATTCATAATATTTTTAAAAATTAATTATTTTTATATATAAAAAATCATTTTTTTATTGTTGCATTATGGCTGAGGACACCAAAATGACCCGGACTTGGTATGATCCGTATTGCAAAGACGGGTCGGGTATGGATAGCCAGGATGGAGCAAGTTCACGATAGATGGGCCCAGATCCATGAAGTCATTGCAGAAACCCATATTAAAATAAGAGAAGTTAAGTCCACGCAAAAGAGAATAAATAAGGCCCAGGCCAGAGGAGGTTGTAACCGTCTATAAATAAGGGAAATTGGGAGGGAAAAGGGGTTAGAAATCATTGGGAGTGTAAAATTTCTCTCTCTGCGATTGGGGGAAATTCTTTGTACTTTTAATTGGCGCCGTTTGTGGGAAGAATAGGAAGGATTGATTGATGTTGTTCCAGATCGATTCTACTCAAATCACTCTGCGAGGAAGACAACTAATCTGCGAAAGCTGAATCAACATTGGCGATAATAAGATTTGTCTTGATGAGTCCAGGCTCTGGTTGATTTCGACAAGTTGGCATCCGATCCACGCAGATCAGATCTGTGCTTAATCCGGCGAGCTGCACAATTGCGATCTGTTGTGATTACTGAATCCGGCCAGTAGTGGACTGAATTCAGCAAGTGTGAGTTCAGATCTAGTGTGTGCACGTTAGCAGAACTCCGATTTGGTCAAGAAATCTATAGTTGATGACTTTGCTCCGATCTAGAATGATGATCGGAGAGGTGAACTCAAATACTTTGGAAAACGGCCAGCAGACGAAGCTCAATGAGCTGATGAACATGATCGACGCTTTGAGGAAAGAAAATGCAGAGCTACGAGCTGGAATGGAGCGTCGTGAGGCTCTTGCCATTCCGAGGCCACCTCCTGAAGGAGAGGGAGCCTTACCATCCCAAACTAATCGTCAAGGTGATCCAGAAGGTGTCAATCGTGTTGATCCACGTCGTGATGAGGTTATAATCGGCGATCTGCCTCCGAATGTCCGTCGAGTAGAGGGTCGAGAAGGATCTATTCATCTGGAACCACATCATGAACGGATCATGAGGGAGGAAGCACCGACGTATGAACATAGTGGTGCGTCACCGTGGCAAAGTGAGTTTGTAGAGGACAGGTCATTCGATCCACCTTACCGACCTTCATTAGCAACATTTGATTACCAGTTCAGAAAGGAGATCTGCCGATCGGGGGCTTTCGTCACGATTTTCAAGGGAAAACGAAGCATTGCACTCATCAGCAAGGACGGTTGCATCTCCGTTCACTGATGAAATTCTGAACACACCGAATCCGAAGAAGTTCTCCTTGCCGGTTTTCATTCTGTTTGACGGAACAACCGATCCGGTCGATCACATCTACCACATTCAGTTGAAAATGGCTCTGAATACTAACAATGATCCTTTGATGTGCATATGCTTCCCTACGAGCTTGGCTGGACCAGCTCTCAATTGGTTCAAGAATCTGGCTCAGGGCTCAATCGCTAGTTTCTAGGACTTATGCGATAAGTTCATAAGCCAGTACTACGGGAATAAACGTCTGGCTAAGGATGTATCAAGCCTTTTCACAATGAAGCAGCACGAGGATGAACGGCTCCAAACTTTTCTCACCCGGTTCAACCTCGTTAAAAGCATGGTAATGGAGTGTCATCCGTCCACAGCGGTCCAAGCATTTAAACTCGCAATGAACCGGGGGATGCCGTTCCACACTAGCTTGGTGGTTACTACGCCGAAGACCATGGACGAGCTGAACGAGAGAGCTGACGGTTTTGTTCGTCTTGAGGAGGAAGAGGTAGCTAATTCGAGGAAGACGTCAATTATTTCGACGGAAGAGAAGTCCAAAGTCAAGATCCGGCAAAAACAAGCTCAGCCACAACGTCATACCTCATTGAAGGCAGAGAAAAGGCCCAGGGAGGAGGAATCAGTAACTCCACTCAGAGTCACCTTAGCAAGGCTATACCAAGAGAACAAAGATAAGTTTCGTCCTCCTTTACCAATCAGTCAACCTCTTGAATAGAGGGATCAAACTAAACATTGTGCTTTCCATAGTTCTTTTGGACATCAGACTAATGAATGCAGGAACCTAAGGAGGCAGGTAGAGATGCTAATCGCAAAGGGGGAATTTGTAAGCTATGCTCAAGGTCCGGCATAAAAGCAGAACCTCCCGGCTGAGTAGATCAAGCGGAACCAGAGGCTGAACTAACACAACTCTCAGCCTATCCAGATTATAAATGCAATTCATGGTCGACCAGAACAAACGACGGAGTCAGAAGAGTTGCTCAGAACGCGGTTACGCCAAGCCCAGTTGAAAAGAAGGATTAGCAGTGTCCATGCTTTGCACCAGCAGAACGCATCCACACCGATAAAGTTTGACAGAACAGACCTGCTACGCGTTCAGATGCCTCATGAAGATCTATTAGTTGTCAATCTGACAGTTGCAGAATGCCTAGTTCGAAGAGTTTTGATTGATCTAGGAAGTAGTGCGAATGTCATGCCTAGGGTGACGTTCGACCGACTTGAGATCGAACCCGAAAAACTCAAACCCACAGGAAATCCGTTGCTTGGATTTGATGGGAAGTGAGTGGAACCCATTGGAATGGTGGAATTGACAGTACAAGCTGCTGAGCGAGTTTTGACTGAGAGTTTTGTGGCCGTGGAAATTTATCCATCTTACAATCTCTTGATGGGCAGAGGGTGGATTCACAGAGTTTAGGGCATCCCATCAACCTAGCATCAAGTGATGCGATGCTTGGGTCCAGATAGGACCAAGGTGATTAACATACATGGGGACCAGGTTGCAGCTAAAGAATGTTATTCAGTGACTTTGAAATCTACTGGAAAAGGGAAAAATCCCATCCGTTCTGCCAGTCCAAAATAGCAATTACAGGAACCTCCTCCCACCAGAAATGGGGAGGAGGAACCACCAGTTCTGACCACCGAACCTCTTCATGAAGTGAAGATTGACCATAAGAAGCCGGACCGAACAACAAGGGTGGGATCCAGACTTACTGAAGAGGAAAAACTAGAGGTGACTAATTTCTTGACTCGGAATGCAAATGTATTCGCATGAAGCCATTCAGATATGCCAGGGATAAATCTTTTTGTATCCTGCCATTCCCTCAATGTAGACCCAAATGCAAAGCCAGTGAAGCAGAAGAAGAGAAGATTTGCTCCAGAACGAAATCAGATTATAGCTGAGGAGGTTGATCGGTTGCTTGAAGCAGGATTCATCAGAGAGGTTCAGTACCCGGCCTGGCTCTCTAATGTTGTTGTAGTGCAGAAAAAGAATGGGAATTGGAGAGTGTGTATTGACTTCACTAATCTGAACAAAGCTTGCCCAAAGGATAGTTTCCCATTACCAAAGATTGATCAAATGGTAGATGCCACCACAGGATACAAGCGATTAACCTTCCTGGATGCTTATTCCGGTTATAATCAAATCCCCATGGATCCAGTTGACGAAGAGAAAACTTCTTTTGTTACTGAACGAGGGACTTATTACTACAAAGTCATGCCGTTTGGATTAAAAAACGCTGGAGCTACTTATCAGAGGCTGATCAGCAAGATTTTTAAAGGCTAAATGGGAAGAGCTGTCGAGGCTTATATTGATGATATGGTGGTCAAGAGTAAGAAGAAGAACGATCACTTAGCGCACCTGCAGGATGTGTTCGATGTGTTGCACCAATATGGGATGAAGCTTAATCCGGCCAAATGTTCATTCGGCATAAGCTCTGGTCAATTTCTGGGACATGTGGTTAATCATAGAGGAATTGAGGCCAGCCCAGCGCAGGCAGAAGCCCTGATCAGAAATGCAGAGCCAAAGACAGTTAAGGAGGTGCAAGCACTCACAGGTCGAATAGCTGCGCTGAGCCGATTTATTTCCAAGCTTTCGGACCGTTATAAACCTTTCTTTGATACAATTCGAGGGCATGGAAGGCAAACCTGGGGGGATGAACAACGACAGGCACTAACCAGCCTGAAAGAATACATGCGCAACCCTCCGGTTCTATCTACTCCCGAGCCGAATGAGAAGCTCTTTCTGTATCTTGGGGTATCTAGCATAGCGACTAGTGCTGTTCTGATTCGTTGCAAAGACGGAAAGCAATTCCCGGTGTTTTATGTTAGCAAAACAATGTCTGAGCCGGAAAGAAGGTACTCAAGGGCCGAACGGATGATCTTGTCGCTGGTCAACGGAAAAAGGAAGCTTAGACATTATTTCGAATCTCATCCAATCGTCATCTTAACAACTTTACCTTTAAGGATGATCTTGCACAAACCGAACCTATCGGGGAGAATGACCAAGTGGGCAATTGAATTGAGTTCATTTGATATTGCGTACGAGCCCAGGACGGCAATTAAAGGTCAAGCGGTGGCGGATTTCCTACTTGAATATGATGTTGAAGATTTGGTGGAGGATTATAATTGTTCCTTGTGGAAGCTCTTTGTGGATGGCTCTTCTAATCAAATGGGGGCAGAGATTGGAATCTAATTGCGAACACCAAAAGGCACCACGCTAAGCCAAGTAATAAGACTTGAGTTCAACGCAACCAACAACGAGGCAGAATACGAGGTATTGATAGCTGGGCTGAAGTTGGCTAAAGAGCTGAAGATATAGTGATTCACAACTAATCATTTGGCAAGTCACTGGGGAATATGGGACCAAGGATAAGACCATGGAAGCATACCGAGCTGCGGTTCTGCGTGAGGCGAAAGGCTTTGATCAGATCAGGTTTATCCAATTGCCGAGGGAGTATAACGAAGATGCCAACCGCTTGGCTTGTAGTGCGTCCAGTTCTAGAGAGACTTTGGCTAGGGTTATCCCAGTGGACGTGCTGGTCTAACCTTCCATTTTTGATGAGTTGCCTAATCCGAGCGCTCAGCATGTTAATGTTATACCATATGAGCCGAGCTGGATTGATCAGATCATGGCTTTTATATGTAATGGTGTACTCCCCAAGCAGAAGGATGAGGCAAGAAAAATCAGGTCCAACGCTGCAAAGTATGCCATTGTGCATGATCAGTTGTATAGACGCTCCTTCTTGGGTCCATATTTGAAGTGTGCTACCCCAACAGAGGCAAGACAGATTATGCGAACCATTCATGACGGAGTATGCGGAAATTATTCAGGAGGAAGATCTTTAGCACACAAAGCAATGACACAAGGGTACTTTTGGCCAAACATGGCACGAGATGCAGAAGAATTCTCTAGAAGATGTGATAAATGCCAGAGGTTCGGGCCATTGATACACCAACCACCTGAAGACCTGCACGTAATGGCCACCCTATGGCCTTTCGCGCAGTGGGGGATGGATGTGGTTGGCCCTTTACCGACCGCAAGCTCGCAGAATAAGTACGTTCTGCTAGCAACTGATTACTTCACCAAATGGGTAGAAGCAGAGCCGTATCCTAGTGTCACCCAAACTCAAGTAAGATGCTTCATCTGGAATAATATTATCTGTCGTTTTGGCGTGCCAAGGTCAATCGTGATGGACAATGGGACCAACCTCGATAGCAAGCAAGTGAAAGAGTTGCTGGAAGAATATGGAATCAACCAGAAGTTAGCAGCAGTCAGTTATCCCCAGGCTAGTGGTCAAGCTGAAATCACAAATAGGACAATATTTGCCTGCATTAAGAAAAAACTGGAAAATGAAAAAGGAAAATGGTTAGATGAGCTTCCGAACGCCTTGTGGGCTTACCGAACAACCCCAAGACGGCCAACCGGAGAGAGCCCATTCATTATGGCATACAGCACCGAGGCGGTGATACCAGTCGAGCACTTGGTTCCAATTATAAGAAGCTTGGCGTGGGATCAAGAGCAGAGTGACAGAATGCTAAGGTTTAATCTCAATTTGCTGGAGGAAAAAAGGGATGAGGCTGCAGTAAGGCTTGCCTCTTATCAACAAATGCTTGTGAATAGCCATAACAAGAAGCTAAGGCACAGAGACTTTGCTCTTGGCGACCTGGTTCTAAAAAAAGAAGGTGGGAATAGTCTAAAAGATGTTCTCCCCATGGGAAGATCCATACAGAATAGCAGAGGTCATAGGGAAGGGGCGTACGTCCTGGAAACTATGGTAGGAAGGGTGGTCAATAAGCCATAGAATGCTACGTCCCTGAAAAGGTACTACCACTAAAAGTAGAGTTTAATTTCAAACAATATGCACGCTTTAAATTGCATACTTACAAGTGTACGAAATTCCCAAGTTTTATAAGAAGTGTTTTCTTTGTTCAAAAATCAATTGACATCCTTCCCATTCAGCAAAGTTAGTGGCAGCTGGCACTTTAAGCCGAACGCCAAACACTTACTTAAAAAATAAAAAATAAAGCCAAGTGGCAAGTGGCGTTCAAGCCGAACGCCAGGCATTCAGCAAAGTTAGTAGCAGCTGGCACTTTGAGCCGAACGCCAAACACTTGCTCAAAAATAAAAATAAAGCCAAGTGGTAAGTGGCGTTCAAATCGAACGCCAGGCATTCAGCAAAGTTAGTGGCAGCTGGCACTTCGAGCTGAACGCTAAACACTTGCTCAAAAATAAAAATAAAGCCAAGTGGCAAGTGGCGTTCAAGCCAAATGCCAAGCATTCAGCAAAGTTAGTGGCAGCTGGCACTTCGAGCCGAACGCCAAACACTTACTCCCAAATAAAAATAAAGCCAAGTGGCAAGTGGTGTTCAAGCCGAGTGCCAGGCATTCAGCAAAGTTAGTGGCAGCTGGCACTTTGAGCCGAACGCCAAACACTTGCTCCGAAATAAAAATAAAGCCAAGTGGCAAGTGGCGTTTAAGCCGAGCGCCAGGCATTCAGTAAAGATAGTGGCAGCTGGCACTACGAGCCGAACGCCGAACACTTGCTCAAAATAAAATAAAGCCAGAACAGTAACCAGGCCGAACACCAAACACTTGTGAAAATACACAGTGAAGTTGAAAATGGAAAACATAAAGAATGGAAGTCATGCTGAACAAAAGCATTGTCATTCATTACAAAAAGGTCCTGAGGTACATAGCTTGATGATCTGAGGAAACGTGAAGATATATATATAAAAAAAACTGCTACAGGATGTCAGTCTTATGATCTTCTCCAGTCTGTGACCTGTCGTTCTCCCCACCATTATCCTCTGGACCATTGAGGTCCTCTCCATTCTCAGCTGCCCTATCATCCTTAGGGGGGGAGTCAAGATGAATCACCCCCTCAGCAGGCATAAGTCTGTTAGTAACAACTGAGGAAGAGGGCACAATAGTAGAAAAGGGGAGGAATATTCAGGGGATGAAAGGGTGGAACAATCCCTGAGGATGCAACCTCTATGCACTCGATGAAGATATTCTCAGCAGGGTCGCAGGGTGGGTTTTGATAATTGTTTGGTGGGTGGATATCCAGAGAAACATCTAATTCATCCAGACCAACACAAGAGCTTGATTCGCCTTCAGGAGGAGAACGGTCAATAAAACCATCTCTGTACCCTTCAGCATAACGGAGGGCACTAGTTCTTGTGAAGCGAGCAAGGAGAGCTTTCATACCCCCTTCGACTTTGCTAATCATGTTCAGCAAGGAAGAGCGTTCGCTTAAGAGCTTCTCCTGTGAGTTGGCATGAGATA